TCCCCTAACAGAACCAACAACACCTAACATCTGAAGAAAATCAATACACCATATAGTATCGTTTAGAAATTTTCAATTAAAGTCTGATTTCTTACTCTATTTCTGCTTTCCCCTCTCTCTTTCCGGTTCTGAGCTTACTTATTGATTTAAAAGTTTGAGCCTTTGGCTTTCTGAACAGTTAAATTAAGCATTTTTTTGGTTTGCTACCCTAAAGCAGGTCAGCAAAACCTCAACTTAACTCTTCTTTTTAATCGTCTGAAATTGCAAGCATGATTTATCCTGTTATCTTTCACTAAATGATATTATTAACAATGTGCTATTATTGACTGTTTTATGTATTTGTTAATGACATATGGCTGATAAATGGATTCTGGAATCATGAGTTCCCTTAGGTTATTGAAATTAGGATTATGTATTGGTCATAATGAACATCTGATAACCTATACCCACTGTTAAGCTTTGAAAACAGCCTAAAAATTCTCAAGCTATTCTGATATTTAGTTTTTTGGTGTTATGTTAGTACTATCATGGTTATTATACAAACTTGACTCAAGCATTACTAATATCTGTAGTGGCTCACTCGACAAATTAGACTCGAACACACATGAATCTGTTTAGTGGTAAGATAAGATTGTCATACACTAGTCCAAGACCTTTAAAATAATCTTCTCTTCCTGACATGCCTCTATAATTCTGTTGATTCTTAGAAATTCATCAAACTCATGATTGTTTGATCACATTACATAAACGTGTCTTAAGCTAATTCCTGCATTATCTTGGTATGTGTTTTGATGATCACCATGCCCTTAACTGAAGTCGTGAGGTTTAGTTGAGATGTGTTCATTCCATTTGATGTACTGAAGTGCTGACATTAAGTCTCACTACGTCTGAAATCCCACCCTTACTTTGCCTGACAAGATCCCTAATGTAATCATTCCTTTTTTCTCAAATTCATGAAGAGATGTTGTTCATTTGATTATGTTAACATCCTTATAATACCATGATCCCTACTAAATGTATCCTATGGGTGTTCCCTTGGGCATTCTGCACTTATTTCTTCTTCAAATACCTCTACTTGCCGTTCATAATCATGTACATGCCTACGCTGTCCTTAAAACTTCAGCAAGATCTCTTAAGTGAACTAGACTTAGATTGTGAACTTTAAGTGAACCTTCTGTTGCTACTATCTGAGTATAACATGTTTTATTCTCCAAACAGATTAATATGAAGTTGAAAGCTCTTAGGACCCTTATCGCATCAACAACATGCTCCTCTTCAACATCATCGGGAGTTGCCTTCCAAACATGTCGCAGGTACCACCTGTCGTGGACTGGCGTGGTATCGTTTCCCTCATTGTGGGTGTCACTAATTGAATCCTCAAAATGAGGCTGGTCTCCTTGAACCTCAGGATTGTGTGTGTTGTTAACACCGTTATTTGCCATTTCTTGTGATTTTTTCTAAGATAAATAATCAAAACACGTTAGTAAACGAGGAAGTATCAACTTAATTACACGGTTGCCTAGGCCCCATAGTGGGCGTCAAACTGTTTACCCGTAAAATAGTACAGTTGAATTTATATGTGGTTTCTAGACAAGTGAATTAATTTGATCCTGTAATAATGAAAGAATTAACGAAATATACAACCCTTAGCCTTGAAATGTAGATGAGATCACGAAAAATAGTAATTCCGGGGATAGAGCTTCCGGGCCCAACGATGATGAGACTAAGGAACACGAAAATGAGATTGTATAAAGCTTGGAATAGATTGTAGCATTAGTTTGCCACAAAATTCTTGTCCTTACAATGGTAATAGAGCTCACTATTTACAGTTACATCTAGGAGATATTCTCCATTAAATGCTATCGGACGGAGGGTATTTATTACCTCTTTATGAGTGTCGTTTCTTCCGATAACAAACGAGATAATTGCCTTCGGCTATGACTATCCCTTGCCTTAGGTTCCATGTCTCATTCTTTTACGCGGCCACCTGGCGCTTCATATTTTACTGTATACAATAACCAACACGCCAACTTCAGAATATCACTATATGGTTGTAAGCAAGAAAGATTGGCAGTTGGTTTGTCCAAATTTATCTTGTTGAATATGATTTTCCAAAGTGAAAAAAAAAACATGATTCTCCAAAATATTTATCCCCTTTACATGGGTGAGTCCAAAACCTTATTGTGGTTTATTTGGACTCAAGCAACACAAATAGGTAAAAATAAATAAATTGCGCACCATTTTATATATAGCGCGGTTATTCATCGCGCTATATATAAGATGTGGCCTCACCAATTATTCATCTACAATTAATTTACCCACCAATAATTCATATGTGTATAGCGCCTATTATGCATGCGCTATACATCAAATAATTGTAACCCCCGGACTGGTTTTTCCTTATTTAAGGAGTTTCTGAATTTGGTACAAATCTATTCAGGATTCTTCAGTTCTTCTGAAATATTTGTTCGTCAAGTTATTTTGCATTTTGTCATAATGTCCGAAGAGCGAAAAATTAGGGTTTCATTATTGGGGGGGGGGGGGAGGAGATTGTGGTGGAGAATAACTCAGTACGCTATAGTTTTTCTCCACAGTATCATGTTAAGTTGCCACTTATAATGGAGTACGATAGATTGGTATCGTCGTTATGTAAAAAATTGAGTGTGAGCAAACGTTCGGTGAATATTAAAGTAATAGGAAGATATTCGTATTCTCTTACTCCACAAGGGGTTGCTTGTTATGCTGAGTTTAATATCAAAGACGATGAAACTTTGACAGATTTTTTGAGGACTCCGGATAAACACCGGGAACTTCTTGTGATAAAAATGTTGGAAATGTACGCCAAGGTTGAAGACGTTCACAATAATGAGTTTCCGCATAGTAGGGATATCCCTCAATCATCGGGTGGTTATTTTGGATCAGTTTTAGCTGAACAGGTTCCGGGTGAAAGAGTTTGGCCTGATCTAAACTTGTCTCCACGGGCGAATGAGGAGCAAGGAAATAATTTCTCCCCAAGTTTACATAATCCACAAGTCGAGTGGTAAATTTCAATTTTCCTTTGTGTTACGATATTTATTTTTATTTATTGAATTTGTACTAACACTTATATATTCCACATGGGGTATTTTACAAGTTATGAACCAACGGACAGCTGGAATATGCCTAAATTTGGTTTGTTGAATCATGATGGTCCATCCGAGAGTCCTCATAAACAGGATAATGTGCATCATGAGATATCAACACATTATGATTTGTAAGTGAAGTGATAAAGTTTATATGTAAAGTTTGGATGAATTCGAGAAACTCATTATTTTATTGGTCGTGCAATGAAAACGAGCAACTTGAAGGTCTTTTCCTTACTCAATTGCCCGAAGATAATATATTTAATCGGGATCAGGCAGATGCGTAGAGTCAGGAAGATAATAGTGATTATGACAATGCTGATGAGTCTGGAGATGGCACACCCTTCCCTGATGAGGGTGATGATAATGAGGACAAGAATGATGAACCTTATTTGACGAGGGAGCATGCTCCACCTCCTATTAGACCAAGAGTGTACAAGTCCCATGTGCCATTTCATTGAAGGGAGATTCCCTACCTTGATCAGTTTCCATGTATGCCAGATGTGGATGCCCTCACAAGGGATCTTGATAAAATTCGAACATCAATGTGGGATGAATCTAGAGCAATGATGCCGTCAAAGGGCACGCTTTATGCTGATAAAGCGCGCCTAAGTAGGGCGGTGCGAATGTACAGCATAAAAGAGTGTCGTGAGATATTCGTTCATGAGTCATCTCCGGAAGTATACAAGGTTATTTGTCGAAGACAGTTTAAAGATTGTAATTGGATGCTGCATGCGAGAAAGACGAAAACAAATATGTGGATTATGGGTAAATACATTGGCAGCCATAATTGTGAAATGGACACATACAGTGGGAATCATTTTAACTTAAATGTTGACTTGATTTCCTTTGTCTTGATTCCACATATTGAAGCGTTCATAAGGTACAAGATCAAAGAGTGTATAACATCTGTCCACCGGGCATATGGGTGTACCATTAACAAACAAAAAGCATTTCTCGCGCTCAAACGTGCATTTGAAATTGTTTATAGTAACTAGGATAAGTCCTTTGCCTCTCTACCCAGGTACATGGCCGCCTTGCAACACTTTAACCCCGGGACTGTTGTTGAATGGAAGCTTGAGCGGAGTCCGCATTTCAACACTTTAACCAGTGCGTCATGCCTCCTGGCGTATGGATTGTACCTACCACCAGCGTGATGAACGGGACTCCCGACGAGAAGTCAATAACGCTGCAATACCAGGCCATATACTCGTCCTCGCCATCCGTACGCTCAGGTGGAGGGGGTGGCAGAAAAATCTCATACCTATGGTCCCAAATATCAATCTAGGCCTCTAGCCAAGCCACGTATGTCTGGTCAACCCTGGAACGATCATACCGCTGGTAATGTGTCCTAGGCCAAGCGGGTGGAATAGGTACAAGTTGCGATTGACTAAACATGCGAAGGACTCGCTAGGTGGCATGATGCTCGACAATATCGAGACATATCAATGGGACGGAAGAGCTCCACATAGCTCAATCACAAGAGCAATAATCGGGCAAACCAGCTATGAGCGCGTCCCTATATAGCCTCCATAAGAACTATTAATTAAACACAAGAATCGTGAGTAAACGCAACACATATAAAGCCAGGCCAAGTAAACTTAAGCATAGATGTACCTGTGCACGTTCACGCAAATCCAACGAATCCCTGTAATAGGGGATTTGATGTCGAGCCTCGACCTCGCGTCCGTAGCCTCGCCTATCAACCTACCTCCAAGCTAATGGGAGAAACGGTAGAGGTGGTGCATCCGGAGCGATGGGTGGTAGAGGTGCTGGAGTTGCAGGAACCGCTCCTAGGCTCAAACCTAATATAGATTGTGGACGTAAAATTTAAGGTATTTATTTTACTATGTATGTTATAATCATGAAAAAAATTGACTATGTTTTCATCTGCAGCAGCGATAAAAATCCGGCAATGTCTCTCTGGGTGCCCATGCACGCCCGACACATCTGCTTATACAGGTAACCTAAAACAGCTGCACCCCAGCTGTAACCAGGTAAATCATCTAGTCGCTCAAGATGATGTAGAAATTTCAAGCTGACTAGGTTTTCTGAAGTGTTCGGGAACAGTACACCACCAAACATCAGAAGTAACAATCTCGTATACCGGTCAATAACCTCTGGTGGTGAATCATCCGTAATCTCCGCATCTCTCGCCTCCAGATGCTGTTGAACGGGGGTCAACTGCGAACGACTGAACCCACTCAATAGAGTCTCCTCTGCTGGCTGGAAACCGGTGAGCCACTACAACATATGCAGGTAATGCAATCCCCTATAGTCTCTAAGAGCATGCAAGTAAACTACCGGTAATCCATCAACCGTCAGCCTGAAAAGAACCTCCACGTCCTCAAGCGTGATGGTAGCCTCGCCGATGGGTAGATGAAACGTGTGCGTCTCTGGTCGCCACCGCTCTATCATAGTCGTGATCAAAGCCCAGTCGAACTGCAACCGGCCGATCTCTATGATCTTATAGAAACCCGTATCCTGAAGGCGTCTAACTATACGGGGATGGAGTGGGTAGTCCCTAATGGACTCCCACATATTGTCTGTACGTCTGGCACGGAATGTCTAGGACAAACACTACACATCCCATATGTATGAAGACCTCTGGTTGGCCTGTAGCAACAGTAGCTCTAGAGATGCAGGTCCGGGATGCACAGGGGGAACCTCCATGACGATGTCTGTAAATTGAACAATATTAATTAAAGTATTTTTCTTTTTAATTTCTTAACATCTTTAGATATATTGCAATTTTTTTATATTAATATTTAATCGATGTTTTTACTATATTGTTACTTAGGTTGATACATTTTTTTATTATAATTTTATATGTTAATTTATTATTTTATATGTTAGTTTACTATTTTATATGTTTGTTTCTTATTTCATATGTTAGTTTATTATTTCATACGTTTGTTTTTTATTTTATATGTTTGTTTTTTACTCACCTATTTTTGGATATAATAGAATTAAATAATTAATTTTCATAACTATACATGATATAATTAATAAGTACTCATATAAAAATACTTAGTTCGACAAATATTGTTGTTGTTATGTTATTTTCTAACATTTGTTGACTAAAATTCGAGAGAGTTTGTGTTTGAACTATCATCTTTTTCAGATATTTTTGGGGTTAACAGATAATTAAATGATTGATTTCAATAACTACCAACATACTAACCTAAAGGGCACTACATTACAATTACGGGCACTACATTATAATTACGGGCACAATAACACTAAAGGGCACTAAACAACAATAAAATCACATATTAATATATGTACAACAATAAAATCTAAATAACATTAATTATTCATCAAATAATAATTTATCAATTTTACTAATCTTTTAGCACATAAATAATATAATCTGGATAAAAAATTAACAAATTAATTTAATCACAAAACAATCATGAAAATACATACACCACATTAAAAACAACTAATAAATATTTCTTATAACAACTAATAACATTAATTATTCATAAAATAGTATTTTCTCTATTTTACTAATTATTAAGCACAAAAATAATCTAATCCGGATAAGAAATGACAAATTAATGAAATCATAAAACAATCATGAAAAAATATAGACCACAGTAAAAACTAATTAATACGCATTTTTTATACATAAGTTTTGACAAAAAAAAGTCGAAATACCTCGATTTATAATTTTTTGAAAGTTGAAGATTTAATGATTTGGGGTCCAAAACGAGCAAACCACTATGCGATAACGCCTTAGATCCGGTGTTAGTTTGCTACAATAAGGAGAAGGAGAAACCCATTTTTAGGGTTTTGGGGGTTCTGCTTCGTGTCGGGGGGGGGGGGGGGGGGAGATGGCAAGCTTTTTTATATATGTATAGCGCGCATATATAAGGCGCTATAGTATAGCGCCTTATATAAGCGTGCTATACCCTCCTTCCCATTTTAAGTTCAAAAAAAAGCGTGATTATTCACCACGCTATACCTTAACGGCCAAATGTTTCCTTAAGGTATAGCGCGGTGAATAACCGCGCTTTATATAAAATGGTGCCCGATTTTTTTTTTACCTATTTGTGTCGCTTGAGTCCAAATAAACCACAATTAGGTTTCAGGATCTTACATGGGCCACCATAATATTGAAATTAATTTCAAGAACAAAAAAGAAAAAGAAACTGCACATCCTAAAATCTCTTGAATATAATGGGTTGATTGGAAGGGTGTATAAGAATAGTGCGGAATAAGGTCTATTAGTAATGCATGGATTAGTAATGCATGGGTTAGTAATGCAAGCATTAGTTATGCAAATATTATTTCTTATCTACTATTTGGTGTGGTGTATTAAAATTATAATGCATTGCATAATGTAGGGGTGTGCATTTGAATCGGTTTATCGATAAATCGAATCGATTATTTGTTATCGGTTTATCGATTTCGATTTCGAAATTTTCCTTATCGAGTTATCGATTTCGATTTTGATTTTGTCCTCTTCGGTTATTCATAATAGGTGAATTAGACTATAATTAGGCCCTAAAGAACCATATTTTTGTATAGCTTTATGGTAAAAAAATGATAACCAAGTGCTCTGATTAGTGTTTTTCATGCTTTGCAGGCTATATCCAATAAAAAAAGTCTGTGGAGTACTTTTGGGATCAATTACGGAGAAAAGGAGGCCAATCATACAATACCCACAAAGTGCACCAAGCGAAGGGACAAAACCAGAACTGAAGCTGGCCTGCCGCTGTCCGAGCGTAACCGCGGTAGGACCGCGGCAGAACATTGCTGCAAATTCAGAGGACCATTCTGGCCGCGGTCCTGGCGTAACCGCGGTGGGACCGCGGCAGGACGTAGAAACTTCAGGGACTAAAGTGTCAAGTCGGGAAAACTTGGTGTAAAACCCTTATAAGATGTAGAAATTCGGCCACATTAGGGCAGGCTTGATTGGGAGATTATTCTGGCAAGACAAAAGTGTGAGAGATCACCCAAAAACATCATAGTTCTTTATCTCTTCTTTTTCTTGCTATTTTCGATTATGAATATTTTCGTAGTTTATCCTTACGTTGTTATAAGTAGCTAAATACTTTAGTCTATGGTTTTGATGGAACCTATTGAAGGATGAACTTCTTGATTATGTTAATATAGTTTGCCAGTTAATCTCTATTTGTTCAACTACGTGTTTGTTGTAGTTAATTGACAGGATCCTCAATTAGTTGTGCCTATTTAGTGTGCATAACTAGGAAGAGAGTGCATATTTAGGTAATTTTTGAAAAATACCACTCCCAAAGTATAAGAGGGATCTATAACTACGGGTTTAAAGGCGGGATTAGGGACAACGAAGCCTTGGGTGCAATCTAAAGTGAGCTGTAATAAACAAAGTCAGCTAGCGTATCTCGGGAGAGTGCGTCTAGTAAATTATCGCGATTACTCGGGAGAGATTTATGGTAAAAAGAGTGCTCATGATTGATAGAGATGTTTCGGTGAATCTATATGAAACATAACCGGAAGGGATTCCATCAATAGGGGAAATCACTATCTTAGAACCTTCTCATTATTGTTTACAACCCAAGCATATTTAGTTTACAGTTGTTTATTTACTTTCAGTCTTAGTTATTAGAAATACCATCAACTATTGTTTGCAACGTTTGGGGAAGTTGATTATAAAGAATTTAGTAAGTCCAACAAAAGTAATTGATAGGTTAATTCTCTGTGGATTCGACTCTGGGCATAAATACTCAGGTTATATTTGCAACGTCCGCGTGTCATTTTATAAGGCATAGTTGGGCGTGATCAAATTTTGGTGCCGTTGCCAGGGAATTAACGGTGTTATCAATTACAATTGAAAGAAGTACAAAAATTCTTAGTGTAGTCAGTTTTCTCTATACCCAATTTTTACATTGAAATTTTAACGTTTGTTGACTGGGTTGCACAGGTGCATGCCTAGAAACTCATCGAGATCTGGTGAAGTATTTGAAGCATTATCAGATCCCGAGAAAGTTTTCAAGGCTTTGAATCGGCCCAACCGGAAAAACAAACAACAACCAACAACTGCACAATTCAAAACAATCATGGGCGATCACGAGGAAAACCCAGGAGTTCCAATAGTGCCAGAGGCTGCTCTCTATGACTGGGCACAACCCACAGCTGAGAATCTATCCACAACGATAGTAGTCCCGCAGATACAGGCTGAGTCATTGCAAATCACAAATAACATACTGCATTTGTTGTAGAATAAGGGACTATTTTCGGGGTCACAAGTTGAAGATCCTCAGCAGCACTTGAAGAATTTCTTGTCTATCTGCAAAACCCAAAGGCAACCCAATGTAACTCCGGAAGCAATCAAGCTGTTATTGTTTCTATTCTCAGTGACAGGAGCTGCCCAGACCTGGCTAAATTCACTCCCCATAAATTCTATAGCAACGTAGGAAGAACTAGTGAAGCAATTCCACAACAAGTTCCACCCACCCAACAAGACGCCTCAACAAATTGATGAGATTTTGAGCTTTAAACAAAGACCGATGGAAACACTGCATGAAACATGGGAGCATTTTAAAGGGATGCTGGTCATTTGTCCACACCATAGTGTTCCAGATCTAATGTTGGGAAAGCGGTTTTACATGGGATTGTCAGATAGCGTAAAGAACATTGTTGATGCTTCAGCTGGTGGGGCATTCTTGAGCAAAACATGGAGAGAGGGCTAGAGTCTGCTTGACAAGATGGCACAGAAATCGGGGTGGATAACCAGAAATGCACCTATCACTCCAGTGGTGCACTCAGTGCCTTTAGATCCATCCAATTCTATGGCTGAAAATATGGCCACCTTATTGACACAGATGAGCATACTCACCAAAAAGGTGGAAGAGTTAGGGCAGAAACAGCAGGTACATATTGTTGATACTACTAATGGGGGTTTGTGCACATCTTGCATTAGTCAGCCAGTTGGTAACCAGTGGAACGCAGAACACGATCATCATCACTACCCTGAAGACATGAACTATGTGTCTAATTATGGCAGCCAAAGACAGGGTGGTCAGAATTGGGGTCAACAGAATCAGCAGTACAGGCCAGCACAGCCACAGTTCAACACTGGGAACATGGGAGGTATGATACCCCCCAACAATATGGCACCTTACCCAAGACCAGAGGGATACAATAATCAGAATCAACAGCAGGGGTATCACCCGCCTCAGCAGCAGCATGGTGGAAGGCAGGAAGATGGGTTTGCTAGACTTGAAGCAATGATGCAACAGGTTATTGGATCTAATGCAAAAATTACTAAGAGAGTCGATGCACATGATGCAGCAATCAAAAATATTGAGGTACAGGTGGGCCAAATTTCGATGTCTCTAAACAATCATCCTCATGGGACACTACCTGCAGACACCCAGATAAACCCAAAAGATCAGGGACCGAAGCAGCTGATGGCGGTGAGCCTACGTAATGGCAGAGATCTGGATGTAGAGCAAGAAAGGGCTCGAGAAGCTAGACAGGCTGAGACACTCATACCAGTGCCCATTGAGCTGGATGAATCAACGAAACTAACAGAGGTGACAGTCCAGCCT